ATTAATACGAAGTTTCTTTTCTAGTAACATTATTTGAAGTAATTTCATACTTTTGCATAAAAGACATGAAAGTCAAATATTAAATATTTGAAGACTAATAATATTCTTGAATTTTTTATACAAAATATATCCAAAATTTCTTTAAGGTTATTATTAACCGATTTTCGTGGAGATAATCAATCCAAATCAATCTGCTTTTTTCTTTGTGCTTCATATTTTATAACATTTTAGTCACCTTAGAAACCATTTTATAAAAAATATTTTTTATTATTGAATTTTAAAAAAACATACAACAAAGTCTCATGGCATTTTTTTTTCTTAGTTGTAGAGAAGCTTGGTTTTCATAATATACTGTATTCCATGGTTAATTTGGCCTTTATAGGAGCTGAAGCAAATAGTACAATCAATGAAGTTCTAATGCAAGCATGTTCTTTTACAAAGAAGAACATGACTAGGTTGCTTTCTAGTTGCTTTCTTCTATTTCTTCTTCTTAATATGTATAGTTTTGAATGCAACCTTCAAAGTAACTATGGATGAGAAAAAAATTTAAAAGCATTAAAGAAACCATAGAAAAAAAAATAATAAATAATAAAAAAAAAAATCAAATATGCTAGCAACGCCATTTTATTTATTGAAAAAAAAAACAAAAAAACAAAAAAACAAAAAAAAAAAACAAATAACATATTCATGAAGTTATAAGGGTTTTGAAAACATTTAAGCTTTCTTTAAGATTATATATTTGTTGGAACAAATTTGTTGTTTATTAGTAGCATTTTAATAGTTCTAGACCATCATAGACTAACTCTTGCTAATACTATTAGATAGATTTTAAAAATATAAAAAAATTTCTAAAAACATCTTTCAATCTTTTTATTGATATTAAAAATATGTCTAATTTTTGGTAATAAAATCCAAAAAGTCCTAAACTATTAGTAGTATAAAAATTTAAGTATAATAGAAGAAATAATATTGAAAACAACATTTTTCTTATCATTAATGCATCTTTTTCTAGCAATATAGGCTAAATCTACCTAATCAATCAATAAATTAAAATCCCTAATAAGAAACAATCTTTGAAAAAATATTCAATTTTTAATGAACTCTATACTACTTTAGGGCACTTGTTCTAAGCCAATAAAAGATGGACTATATATTATCAATCAAGAAGAAGCCTTGAGAAGACTTTTGGCTTAATAGATTATTATAGCATTGAAACTTAAAGAAGCTAAGATAAAATATTTTCTTAGGTATAGAATGTTGAGAGTGTTTCTATACCAAAACAAAATGAAAAAAATATTTTAGCTAGATTTGATTTTGACATAATAAGATCTGTAAGGGATCTTAGATTAGGCTATTGTTGTAAAAGCTTGGTGTTTTATCATTTAGTATCTTTATCTTTGGCTTCCAAAGGCATTCTATTTACTACATCATATGTCTTTTTAGGGGAGTCTTCTATATTTGTCCATTACTATTTCTATCAATGCTATAAGAATTTTCTAACTACATAAGAATGATACACAAAGAATCTATAGTATTTTTAAAACTCTAAATAATAAAGTTATGAATATTGACAATATTAGAATTAATCACCGACTAAAAGAGATTAAGAAGAAATTTTAAGGGCATTACATTAGCTTGTTTTTTTTTAAAGTATGATGTTATTATAGTAGATTTTTAATATCAGGATATTACAATTAATTATATTCAAATATATTCACCCAACCTATTCCAAGATACTACTTGGAGGTGAGCCAATACACCATGTAAGAAACTTGACTATTACTATGCCTAAAAGGAGTCATACTGAGGAGCACATAGTTAAAATTCACTCGATAGTGTAATATGTGATACATCATCACATTCCCTAAAACATAAACTACGAGCAAAATTCATACATATTGCATTCTTCAATAAGCACCATAGTACATATAGCAAGTGAATTGAACCTATATTTCAATTCCAAAATCTATTCAAAATACAAATAATTGCACCATCAACAAATCCAAAAAAAAGCACATACAAAAACTTACAATTAATAAATTGATTACTTCATTTACCTTAAAAGTCATCACGATACTTCCAAATTTGATCATTATATTGCTGGCCTTTGCTAGAAAGCAAAAGTTTCTAAACAATTGTTTGCCACTAATTATTATTTAAAAAATACATCTAATTATTTTTTTTGTATAAGAAATAAAATATAGATTGGCTACATTTTAGTTTATTTATAAATATTCTATTAAAAAGATTGTAAAAAAAAAATTATTTTATTTAAATAAATAAAAATATAAATATTATTTAATTAATTTTTTCTTTAAAATATTATTTTGATATGAGATATTATATATGTTTATTTTTTATAGATTATTTTGTAAATAATAAAATATTTACTATAAGTATTATGTATCTGAGTTGTTTTATAATTAAAAAAAATGTAATAACTATAATATTACAGTAGTAAAAAAACCACTTTAATAAGTATTTATAATATATAATAATAAATATCACCTATAAAATATCATCAGATAAAATGAAATTCTTATATGAAGCACCAAATTTTGCATCCACACTTTTAATGAAAAATCTAAATCTTTAAACAACAACTCCACATCTTTGTCAATATTACATCCCTTCTTATTTAGTACAACATTGTTATTTGTTTTTAAAATCATGTATTGGCAATTTTTCCACTTAATTTTGATGACTCCAATAAAGAACATGTTTAGATCAATATACTCTAAACATATTTCTTTCCACAACTTAGGTCGTCTTACTCAAGTACACTTCTTTTGAAAAACAATTATCTTTGTTATAGAACTTTGAGCCCACCAAGTCTTATATAAAGAAAAATAAAATCCTTAAAATAAAAAAAATAAAAGCACATATATTGAGTGCTTTAGTTCAATTCAAATCTTTAGTGTAACTAAGCTCTACCTTGAATATAAAAAATGATGTTTAGATTGAAAATATTAATAATAAACCTCTTGTACTTATTAAAATTTGTTGATGCTTTAATATATTCTATCTATAAGTCATAGGTTCATTATGAAAATATTGTACAATATTATAAGGTTAAAAATAAAATGTGTGTATATTTGATGCATCTTGTTGACCATTGGCTTCTATAGCAACACTCCAAATGAGATTTGTAATAGTGCTTATGATTTATAAATTAAAGCCCTTAAGACAAAATTCCTTTTAATTAAACAATTGTTTCAATGCAAAACAACCATGCTGCTAATTTTCAGATATGGTAAATACTACTATAAGCTACAAACACTATGAATTTTTTTTGGATTAATTCTAGAATATTCTCAAAATATTATCCTAATTCTCGCATGTCTTTAATACTATGTGATCATTGCAACAACCAATATATTATAGTCACTATTTGGTTCAAGACAAAATCATAAGAATGGTAATTTATTAATCTGTGCATTGTCATGTATTTTATATCTAACTAATGATTGATCACAATAATGAATGAATCAATCAATACTTAAGTAAAATGTAGTGGTGGTTTTAATAATAAAAAATCTAAATTCACTGTAAGATGTAGACAGTTATTATTGAATAAAAAAAAAAAAATTGGAGAGAAGAATAAAAAAAACCAACTCAATCTCAATGCCAGTTAACTACACTTGTAGAATAAAATGTACATACCAATAGATGCACTAGAATACAGAAAAGATGGTGTCATTGAATGTACAACAAAATTACATTAGTTCGAATAATAATCAATCCAACCGACATACGAATGCTTCAGGAACCAAGTGTAAGAGTATGGTACCATGTTTTGTACATTATAACTATCAACATGAGCAGCATAATAACTCCGTCGGTACCAATAAAACCAAAAAACCAAAAACAAAACCTGCTTTTGTAATCAGAACATGATTAAGTCAGAGTATTGTACTGAGGGCAAAATTTTGAAGTTTCCCTCTTTTCTTTCATCATGTATTACAAAGGTTCAGAGCTTCTACCTTATACTCGTGGCATTCAGCTTATCAACAATAACTGCAGCTCTCAGCAAGTTTCCTCATGACTCATTACAATTTAAAACCAATATCTACCACCACCACGAGTGAAAACCCCAGTTGAGCAAATGCCTGTCAGTATTCAACTTTTCAACGAGATTGCAATATTTGAGCATTCACATAACCACATGTAAACTCTCATACACACGTCTTGAAATGTACTGCAGAGATTGCCAACATCAGGATGTTACAATCAATTCTGTTCAAACATGCTCACACAGCCTGCTCCAAGATAGTACTTGGAGGTGAGCCAGCACACCATGCAAGAAACCCGACTATTACTATGCCTAAAAGGAAGCATGCCGACAAGCGCATAGCTGATGTTCACTCGATGGTGTAATATGTGATACAGCATCACGTTCCCTAAAACATGGACTACGGGCGAAATTCACGCATAATGCGCTCTTTCATAAGCACGACAACAGAGTTGGTAAGTGAAACGAACCTGTATTTCAATTCCAAAACCTATTCAAAATGCAAACAACCGCACTGTCAGCAAACCCAAAATAAGGCACATACAGTAGCTTACAATTAACAAACTGACTGCTTCATTTACCATATAAGTCATCACAATACTTCCGAATTCGATCATTATATTGCTGGCCTCCGCTGGAAAGCAAAAGTTTCTGGACAAAAGTCCCAATCAAACTGACTTCTGTTAAAATTCTGACTTCTCACAATGTTAATCATATCATAGGTTCCAATCTTCAAAAACTTGTGAAAACCAAACTCTATCTGCGCAACCCCTAGCCCCTCCAACCTAACAATACTCCTATGGCTTCTAAGATAGATTTCTGCCAAGGCACAATTTCAACTACGATTCAAAACAAACAATTCTCATTCAATTCATAATATACCAACACAAAAACAAAGTCATATGAACAAATCATCGCACGTGCTCAAGAAGCATCCAAGTCAGACTATCATCAATCAACGGCAAACGTTTGCCATGCAAAACAAATGTACGGGATATCAGAAGCAATTGGTCACACTGCCAATTGTTTGCCATTAATTCTTCTACAAATACATCTGATGCTTACTGGTACAATTCACCTCCAGCAAAAACAATAGCAACTCCCAAAGCATCGAGGTTCCTCGATGACTTCAAACCGAATTCGTGTCACAAATCACAAGCATCTGTACACACCAGGGAATAAGCTGCCCATGAGCGAAACAGCCTCCACCCATGACCTCACCAATCCTGCATCTCCTCAAAGAAATAGATGTCGACAAGTTCGATTATCTCTACAACGATTGCCATTCTTACTGGCCGAGCACGTTGGACGCAGCGCCGCCGGCAGTGCTCTTGGCGTCCTCCGCCATGGAGGCGACATTCCCCTTCACAGCGTCCACCTTGCTCCCGAACGACTTCAGCAACCCGGACCCAGGCGCCTCCACCTTCACATCCGGTGCGGCGTCCTTGGCAGCGCCCACTGCGCTCTTCACATCATCCACCGCCTGCACGGCCTTGCCCTGCAGCTTCTCCGCGCCCGCGTTCACCCTGACAGTCGCCTCGTCCACGCGCGTGCTGTCTTGTCCCAGAAACTCCTTGCCCGCTCGTGCGCTCGGGGAGTTGGGCCCCGTCGCTACAGCCAGACCGGACTCCGCCTCCTTCGCTGCCTTCTCGATGTTGGTGGCCAACGGGTTCTGCGAGTTGTCCAGGAAGTTGCCCACTCGTGCCTTGGCGTCCGCGACGGGGCCCTTGCCCGTCACCTGCGTGTTCCTCTTCGGGTACGGCTGCACACATATGGCGCACACATCCGCTATTCTATCAGCTCAAACCTTCAAATCCACCCCATCTCTCGACATGCATTCGCCCAAGTGCGAAAAGTCCACGCCGGATGCCCACGGTACACGAATTCGTGTTCCCATCTCGCATCCGGAGCTTCTCCAAACGCGCCCAATGCAGCGCACAGCCACGGTCGTGTAATGCACGCGGTACGTACCTTGTCCTTGCCGAACAGTCCGTCGATGCGGCCCTTGATGCCCGACGCCGCCTCCTCCACCGTGCTCTGCGCGTCACCCAGGGGGTTCGAGCCAACCACGCCCTCCAGAGGGTTGCTTCCCGCCAGGTCCTTGGCGCCCTGCACTGCCTGACCCGCCTTGCTCTTGGCTGCGGCCACTGGGTTCATTGCAGCGTTCGCCTGACCCGAGAATCCCAGCGCCGCTCCCGCGGCCAAGATGCCGGCCAGCACCTCGCGCCTCGCAGGCTTGGCCTCCTGATCATCCAACACAGCACGCACACGCAATTCACTGCTAGTTCGCGATTCCAACACATCATCATCATCACCATCATCATCAACAAATGCCGCACGACGGCCATTCCGCATTGAGCGAGTAACAATTCAAGGACCCAACCGCGTGACGGCCGTCGACTGTGCCTACCTCGGACCCGACGCTGGCCATGACGACGCCCGAGCGGACGGCGCGCCTACTCACTGGGGCCGCCTGCATCGCACTGCAGCTGCTGCCGAAGGCGGACTTGCTGGACAACGTGGACATGTCCAGGCTAGTGGACCCGGACACGGTGAGAGCAGTGGAAGCTGCCGACGCGGCCATTGTGGATAATCGAGAGAAAGAGGGAAACACACGGAACAATGCGCGGCTGCGGTTGTAGCGAGGCTGGGGAACGCAGCAAGAGGAGAATGGGATATGATAATCACAGGCGATGGTGATAGTGATGGAGATGGAGCTGTAGGAGTGTTGAGAGAGCGCAATCGTGCACGCTTGGCAGGGTGGGGGACGAGGGAGAGCATAAGAAGTGGTGGAGGGGGCAGAACATGGGCGACAAGTGGCGAGGTGGAGCGCGAGACAGGTGGTGGAAAAGGTAGAGAAAAAGATGAGAGAGTGGGTTTATCGCTGTGATAGGCCCAGCAGTGAGTGACCCTCCCCCACAACGAAGATGTGCTTTCGCACAAACAATCCAGTCAGTGCCCCTCCCAGCTGGTCACGCTGTGTCTGTCACGCTGTGTCCTCCCTCGCTCCCTCACTCCCTCCCTCCCTTGCCCCCCACACACCACCCCCCCCCCCCCCCTCCTTGCCTTCCTCCACTGCAGTGTCGCACAATTACAGTGTGTTTTTGATCGGACTCTCAGTTAAACCTTTCAGTACGGGCACCTATTCCCTTGTGAAGCGTCTTTGCGTCATTCGGCAAATTGGTTTGTTGGGAAAAATTCACTACATTTTGGCTCTTTGGGTGTCTTCAATAATGTATTTTTAGTAAAATATTCTATATTTCATTTTTTGACATCTTCTTAAGTAAGCAAAAAAAAGAAAAAAGAGAAAGAAAAAGAAAACCAATTCTGTTATATAAGCAAGGATTCCAAAATTTTCTAAAGCTGATTCCATAAAAGGTGGTATTTGACTAGTTTTAATATCACTTGTATAACCTAAGATACCTACATTAATTGTTAAATTCATTTAATGCAAAATTGATATGATTCAAAAATAAATAAATATATAATTTATTAATAGCTAGATGAAGATATGTGAAACAATTGGTAGTAGGTATATTTGATAAGATATAATTTCTAAATATTTTTATGTATTCAAAAATATATCATGACAATATATTAATAAAAAAATGATAATCTAATGTCATTTAGTTGGAAGAATTTTGTAAGCAATTATTAGTTTAATAAGATAATATACAATAGTGTTAATTATTTTTATTAGTTTATTAAGATTATGTATAATAGTGTTAATTATTTTTATTAGTTCATTAAGATTATGTATAATAGTGTTAATTATTTTTATTAGTTCATTAAGATTATGTATAATAGTATTAATTATTTTTCTTAGTTCAATAAGATTATATAAAATAGTATTAAATATTTTTATTAGTTCAATAAGATTATATATAATAGTGTTAACTATTTTTATTAGTTCATTAAGATTATGTATAATAGTATTAATTGTTTTTCTTAGTTCAATAAGATTATATATAATAGTATTAATTATTTTATTAGTTCAATAAGATTATATATAATAGTGTTAATTATTTTTATTAGTTCATTAAGATTATATATAATAGTGTTAAATTATTTTTAAAGTGATTGATAGCTTAAGTATATTACAGTTGCTTTTCATAAAAAAAACCAAATACTTTAAAAATGACATTGTATATTTAAATATGTTATAATAGTATAAAATAAATTATCTACAAAAAATAATACATAATAGAATTTTTTATTTATTTTATTATTTAATAGAATATATCTATCTATCTATCTATCTATCTATCTATATATATATATATATATATATATTTAAAAACATCAATTTTTCTATGAATAGACTTATTAATTATTATGTTTTTAAAAACAATTGTAAATCAATGTCACAAACATATATATTTATTTCTAGATAGTATGTATAGGTAGAAATAAGTAAAAGTAGATAAACTTAATAATATCTTGTGGAGAAGCTTTTTAGAAGCTTTATAGATGTAGCTTTGCTTTTGTATGTGTCTATAGGTGATTGACAGGTTAAAAACTTAGCGAACAAGTTGGCTATGTGTTGCACATGTCGGCCACTTGTGGTACAAGTTGGATATGTGGTGCACATATAAGAAACTTGCCTTGCAAGTTAGACAATTGTTGGAGGTTTTATGGAATGTCACCACATAGCTCTTAGTTAGATAATATGTGTAGAGGCATGAGTGAGGCCTTCCTTATTCTTGTCAACTCTTTTCTTATTTTTGGTCTAGTTTCAAGACTCTCTAGTTTTTTTGTCTTTTGATAATAGTCATTCTAGTTTCTAAATAAATATACATGTTTATTTTATTTTATTTTTTTATCTTTTTTTAAAAATGTCTCACTTATTTATTTATACTATTCAAGTTAATTGATATAAAGAATCATTAGACTTAAAGAACCTTATACATTATAGGTTTATTCTTTAAAAGAATCTACAATAGTAAGAAGTTCTATATTAAGAATCTTATTGTTGATCTTTTTTGCCAAAACTTTTCTTGAATAAAACGCAACATAGTTAAGTTTGTCATTTGCTCATATGTAAGAATATTGCATCTAGAGCAAAGCATGATAAGTTTATATCCATATAAAAATATCTTAGAGAAATAAAAATAATATTAAATTAGGATAGAAATAAAAATTATCTTCAAAATTTTAAATAATGCTGCAATAAATTTATTTTACTTGAATTTTTTTTCATATCAAATATGTAAGTAGAGCTAAAACTTAAAAAAAACACTCTCAATAAAAATCTAATAGTAATTAAAAAAATCTTAAAAAATATAATACATCTTTTATTATTCTTTAAACCTTCAAATCTATGATGGTTTGCACTTTCTTAATATCTATCACCTGACCATCATTTGGCACTTTCTTATATCTATAAGTTTTTATAATTTACAACAAATATAAAATTTATACTCTTTTAGGTTCTAAAATTATATTAAAATATTTTCTATGTAATAAGTAATAAAATCATGTATTAAACTCTTGTCAAATATCAGTCTTAAGATGTTAAAAATCAGCTTATGCATATGTAAAATGCCACCACTTCTTACTGAAGTAGATAATGATTCAAATATGGAGGTCTAAGAAGTCATAGTTTTAATACCAAAATTTTAATGATAATCTTGATAATTATTCTTAATGGTAATTTTATTAAATCATTGATAATCTATACTCATCTATAGTGATCCATCTATATTATCTACAATCAAGATAGAAAATCTTATTAGAGATTTAAAGTTACATATAAAAAACTTCCCAAATTTATAACACCATACTTTTAGACTACAACAAACTTATTGTATAAAAAGCTATAAATAAATAAGTGAGACATTTTTAAAAAAAGATAAAAAAATAAAATAAAATAAACATGTATATTTATTTAGAAACTAGAATGACTATTATCAAAAGACAAAAAAACTAGAGAGTCTTGAAACTAGACCAAAAATAAGAAAAGAGTTGACAAGAATAAGGAAGGCCTCACTCATGCCTCTACACATATTATCTAACTAAGAGCTATGTGGTGACATTCCATAAAACCTCCAACAATTGTCTAACTTGCAAGGCAAGTTTCTTATATGTGCACCACATATCCAACTTGTACCACAAGTGGCCGACATGTGCAACACATAGCCAACTTGTTCGCTAAGTTTTTAACCTATCAATCACCTATAGACACATACAAAAGCAAAGCTACATCTATAAAGCTTCTAAAAAGCTTCTCCACAAGATATTATTAAGTTTATCTACTTTTACTTATTTCTACCTATACATACTATCTAGAAATAAATATATATGTTTGTGACATTGATTTACAATTGTTTTTAAAAACATAATAATTAATAAGTCTATTCATAGAAAAATTGATGTTTTTAAATATATATATATATATATATATATATATAGATAGATAGATAGATAGATAGATAGATATATTCTATTAAATAATAAAATAAATAAAAAATTCTATTATGTATTATTTTTTGTAGATAATTTATTTTATACTATTATAACATATTTAAATATACAATGTCATTTTTAAAGTATTTGGTTTTTTTTATGAAAAGCAACTGTAATATACTTAAGCTATCAATCACTTTAAAAATAATTTAACACTATTATATATAATCTTAATGAACTAATAAAAATAATTAACACTATTATATATAATCTTATTGAACTAATAAAATAATTAATACTATTATATATAATCTTATTGAACTAAGAAAAACAATTAATACTATTATACATAATCTTAATGAACTAATAAAAATAGTTAACACTATTATATATAATCTTATTGAACTAATAAAAATATTTAATACTATTTTATATAATCTTATTGAACTAAGAAAAATAATTAATACTATTATACATAATCTTAATGAACTAATAAAAATAATTAACACTATTATACATAATCTTAATGAACTAATAAAAATAATTAACACTATTATACATAATCTTAATAAACTAATAAAAATAATTAACACTATTGTATATTATCTTATTAAACTAATAATTGCTTACAAAATTCTTCCAACTAAATGACATTAGATTATCATTTTTTTATTAATATATTGTCATGATATATTTTTGAATACATAAAAATATTTAGAAATTATATCTTATCAAATATACCTACTACCAATTGTTTCACATATCTTCATCTAGCTATTAATAAATTATATATTTATTTATTTTTGAATCATATCAATTTTGCATTAAATGAATTTAACAATTAATGTAGGTATCTTAGGTTATACAAGTGATATTAAAACTAGTCAAATACCACCTTTTATGGAATCAGCTTTAGAAAATTTTGGAATCCTTGCTTATATAACAGAATTGGTTTTCTTTTTCTTTCTCTTTTTTCTTTTTTTTGCTTACTTAAGAAGATGTCAAAAAATGAAATATAGAATATTTTACTAAAAATACATTATTGAAGACACCCAAAGAGCCAAAATGTAGTGAATTTTTCCCAACAAACCAATTTGCCGAATGACGCAAAGACGCTTCACAAGGGAATAGGTGCCCGTACTGAAAGGTTTAACTGAGAGTCCGATCAAAAACACACTGTAATTGTGCGACACTGCAGTGGAGGAAGCAAAGGAGGGGGGGGGGGGGGGTGGTGTGTGGGGGGCAAGGGAGGGAGGGAGTGAGGGAGCGAGGGAGGACACAGCGTGACAGACACAGCGTGACCAGCTGGGAGGGGCACTGACTGGATTGTTTGTGCGAAAGCACATCTTCGTTGTGGGGGAGGGTCACTCACTGCTGGGCCTATCACAGCGATAAACCCACTCTCTCATCTTTTTCTCTACCTTTTCCACCACCTGTCTCGCGCTCCACCTCGCCACTTGTCGCCCATGTTCTGCCCCCTCCACCACTTCTTATGCTCTCCCTCGTCCCCCACCCTGCCAAGCGTGCACGATTGCGCTCTCTCAACACTCCTACAGCTCCATCTCCATCACTATCACCATCGCCTGTGATTATCATATCCCATTCTCCTCTTGCTGCGTTCCCCAGCCTCGCTACAACCGCAGCCGCGCATTGTTCCGTGTGTTTCCCTCTTTCTCTCGATTATCCACAATGGCCGCGTCGGCAGCTTCCACTGCTCTCACCGTGTCCGGGTCCACTAGCCTGGACATGTCCACGTTGTCCAGCAAGTCCGCCTTCGGCAGCAGCTGCAGTGCGATGCAGGCGGCCCCAGTGAGTAGGCGCGCCGTCCGCTCGGGCGTCGTCATGGCCAGCGTCGGGTCCGAGGTAGGCACAGTCGACGGCCGTCACGCGGTTGGGTCCTTGAATTGTTACTCGCTCAATGCGGAATGGCCGTCGTGCGGCATTTGTTGATGATGATGGTGATGATGATGATGTGTTGGAATCGCGAACTAGCAGTGAATTGCGTGTGCGTGCTGTGTTGGATGATCAGGAGGCCAAGCCTGCGAGGCGCGAGGTGCTGGCCGGCATCTTGGCCGCGGGAGCGGCGCTGGGATTCTCGGGTCAGGCGAACGCTGCAATGAACCCAGTGGCCGCAGCCAAGAGCAAGGCGGGTCAGGCAGTGCAGGGCGCCAAGGACCTGGCGGGAAGCAACCCTCTGGAGGGCGTGGTTGGCTCGAACCCCCTGGGTGACGCGCAGAGCACGGTGGAGGAGGCGGCGTCGGGCATCAAGGGCCGCATCGACGGACTGTTCGGCAAGGACAAGGTACGTACCGCGTGCATTACACGACCGTGGCTGTGCGCTGCATTGGGCGCGTTTGGAGAAGCTCCGGATGCGAGATGGGAACACGAATTCGTGTACCGTGGGCATCCGGCGTGGACTTTTCGCACTTGGGCGAATGCATGTCGAGAGATGGGGTGGATTTGAAGGTTTGAGCTGATAGAATAGCGGATGTGTGCGCCATATGTGTGCAGCCGTACCCGAAGAGGAACACGCAGGTGACGGGCAAGGGCCCCGTCGCGGACGCCAAGGCACGAGTGGGCAACTTCCTGGACAACTCGCAGAACCCGTTGGCCACCAACATCGAGAAGGCAGCGAAGGAGGCGGAGTCCGGTCTGGCTGTAGCGACGGGGCCCAACTCCCCGAGCGCACGAGCGGGCAAGGAGTTTCTGGGACAAGACAGCACGCGCGTGGACGAGGCGACTGTCAGGGTGAACGCGGGCGCGGAGAAGCTGCAGGGCAAGGCCGTGCAGGCGGTGGATGATGTGAAGAGCGCAGTGGGCGCTGCCAAGGACGCCGCACCGGATGTGAAGGTGGAGGCGCCTGGGTCCGGGTTGCTGAAGTCGTTCGGGAGCAAGGTGGACGCTGTGAAGGGGAATGTCGCCTCCATGGCGGAGGACGCCAAGAGCACTGCCGGCGGCGCTGCGTCCAACGTGCTCGGCCAGTAGTACATATTGGGAGTGGCCATGAAAAGCAAAGATGCGAATTGGCAGATCGTTTTTGATCACCTCATTTGTTGTCTTGGCTCTAGAGTGTAGAATATCGGTTTGGTTGTGTAGTAAAGCACAGGCATTTGTGTGGATAACGTATAATTTGTGTAATGTAAGATTGCATTTCTGAAAACGGTTAGTTGCAATTGTAGAATTAGGTTTGTGTGGTGATTGTGTTTCACTTTGGAAAGTCAGGGATGGCGACATTTGATGTTTCACAGCTGTGTGATTTATTTTGTTCGTTGTTGATTAGTCTTATTTAATGCTTCGTTCATGGGAAGATTTTAATCTTGATATTCTGTTTGTTTTTGCAAACTGGAGATTTAAAATAAGAGTGTCGCTGATGCATGCCAAAATTGTAATATGGAAAGATAAAGTGTCTTTTCTGGACTGTGTTGCAACTTAGATAAGTACGTGGAAAACAGGATACTGATATATGACTATTGTATATACGGCAAGAAATGCTTTTAGTCAATTCCAATGGAAGCGTTGAATGCTAAATCAGTTTGTATAGTTACGTCAGAAGTAGAAATAATTTTGCAGTACCGAGAATTGGTCTTAGTTGAAAACTTTGACGGGAGGTTTAGCTGAAGTTGTAGAGTATTGTGTTAAATGGGGCTTAAATTAGGATGTGAAATCCTGTAAAAGAATGACACGTAAAGAAAATATTACAAAGAGTATGTAATTTATATTCTCTTGATAATTTGAGTGTAATGGGAATGATAGAAAATATTCTACAGTGATCTTAGTTGAATATACTCAAAAGACATATCTTCATACATATACACTGACATCTTCAGATATCTTAAAGAAAAGAAAAACAAATAAAGCAATTAAACTAATAATTTGTGAAATCAAATAGACTTTTTAAAATAATATCTATATATATATTGTGAATGTTAATATTCAATATGTTTATGAAAGTATTTACTAACTTCGTTAACTTTGATGCTCAACTATGATTTTTAGACTTATTATATTATGAGGTTGAACATGGTAAGAAAAAGAGTATTAATTTAAAGTGACTATTTTATTTTAGGATTAATTTATTAGTGTTTTTTCTATGTTTAAGAAAAATTTCAAATTTAACAATTCAAATGCTTTTACATATATTTAAAGCTCAAACAATGTAAATTTTCAAAAGCAAATCAATCCAATGGCTTATTAGTTGAAACTATCCACACTCATGAAAGTCTATCCAATCTTTTATGTTTCTCTCTTAGAAGCTTACTTAAAATCAACTATTCTAGAAAGAATATAATCATCACCACTTTGTATTCAAAATATATAATCATATAGAATATGAGGTGAAAAAAATCCTTGATTCTTGGCAAAAGAGAAACAAGTTGGAATACTTTATTCATTGGCATGGCTATAATATCAATGAGCACATATCGAAACGACCAAAAAAACTAAGTAATGCACTGCAAAAAGTACAAAAGTTTCATCAATGCTATCCTCAGAACCCTAACCCTATTTCATGATGACTTCTCCATGAAGTTTCTACTAGGATGTTCTATTATAAAGAAGAGAGCAAGTATCACTGACAACAACCTTAGAGTTTAGTGTATCTAGTTTATGATCCTATATGTCAAATTGGAGAATGTTTAGAGAGTCTTTAAATCAAGAATTTCAAGTAAAGCCAAAGCTGGAATTTTCCTTATCATAGCTCCCAAATCAACCATTCCAACTCTTACAATCTTTGCAAGATCATCCTCAAGATGAAGCTGGACCTTCTCGAGGAAATAAATGTCCATACTACAATCAACTTAATCACCAAAACCTCCAAAATGATGCTCAAGCTTTAATCATTATACTGAGAGTTGGTGCAATAGAGCCTAATAGAGTTGAAGTCACTTTTCATGAATGTTTTAAAGGCCTTCATGCTAACCAAGTCTAAAGAATAGGTCTTCCACAAGCAGATGAAGGTGGCCATTTATTACTAACTTAGTAGACTAGCCCATTCATTGAATAGAGATCAACAAGCAATATATATTGTAGCTATTATTCAACAAATCTTTGAATACTTATAGATGTGAAACTGATGTTCCTCATAGAACTTAGAATTAGAAGGAGATGTGATGTTACAGACATCCAATAAGAAGATTTTAGGAATATTTTTAAAATATTTCAATAAGAGGTTCTAGGAGGTTTTCAAAATATTATAATAAAATATTCTAAAAGATTCTACTATATTCTAGAAAGTTCTAAGAAGATTAAGGAAGTTGTTGAAGAACAATCCTAGAGTTGCTTTGTCTCCAAGCAACATGGAAACTTGTCAATAAGTTTTTTAATACCTAGTATGTATTGAAATTGAGATTGAGGAGATCCTCAATCTTGACAATTCGTTTCTTACAGCTCTAGCTCAACTATCCATATCTTTCTTATACAACTCTATTATTTTCTTTTAGCATTGCTTTTAAAATTATATTTTAATTTACAAACATATTAATAATATTCCAGTATTATATTCAAGTAAAACTTATTAAAAGTCCAAGCTATTATTACCTACTACATCATTATCAAATCTTTTAAGAATTGATAGATATCATTTAATAATAGCCATAATCTTTTAAACAATCTTTACCACCTTATCAAGTTTTACAAATAGGCAATTAAATCCAATATAAATCTTTATATGTATATATTTATTTATGTAATATTATGATCTCAATTTTTTAAATCTTAAAATTTTAAATCTTGTTAGAATAAATAACATCTCATTAACAAATGCTTTACATAATCTATTCAGTAATAGTTAATTTTAAAATAATATAGAAAGATTATTTTAAAATATTATTTTTTTAGAATCTATATTTATATGCACTTCTTTTATAGGCAATATTTTATTGTGGTTTTGAGATATATTAATCAATTATGTACCATTGTATTAGTTGATGGAGTCTATATCATATACAATACCAATTATAAAATTCTTAGCAATTATTGAACAACTCTTAAAAAAGTCACTACTTGATGACTCCCACAACTTGATAGTTGAAAAAAATATGGGACTTAAAAAGAAGATCTAAGAGAGATAGGGCCAATCTCTTTTTGTATATACATCAAATAATCAAGATTGCTTCCAATGATTGAAAAAAAGAAGATACATTTTCTTCAAAAAACTCAATATGTGTCCTTATTTGCCTTTCTATTCTTGTCTCTCAAACTAATATCAAAATACCTTAAGATTTTTCAGCTATCTTGGGAGGGGGGGGGGTTAAAATTTTAAAAAATAGTGGAGATATAAGGTTCTGATGTGCTCCACAAAAAATAAAAATAAATAAATAGATAAAATTGCTAGAGTGGTTTTATTGAAAAAAAATTAACAAAGCAGTTTTTGCATTTGACTCCTAAACCAATACATAGATTTGGCCAAAATTGTCCATAATAACACATTAAACCACCACCAACTTCATCCTTGTAAAATTTGCCAATCATTATTGGGCTTGGAATGGACTTGGAATCTTTCTACATGAAGAATGGTTGCTTATTGGGCTTGGAATGGACTTGGAATCTTTCTACATGAAGAATGGTTGCTTATTGGGCTTGGAATGGACTTGGAATCTTTCTACATGAAGAATGGTTGCTTATTGGGCTTGGAATGGACTTGGAATCTTTCTGCATGAAGAATGGTTGCTTTTGGGTTTGTGCAAGGGTGGTTTAAGGTAAGATCTAGGGGTTGGTTCATGGCCGTGACACGATTTAAGGTATTTCGATGTTAGTTCATCTGACCATCCACTCACTCTAATGTGACCTATTTTTTGTGTAGAAACCAGACTGTTATCATCTCCAAGGCCACGGCGTCTGGAATGTAAAGACGCTCACAAAGCTCGTGCTGTGCTGTTGACGATGCATGGAACTCCGTGATAAGGATTTTGAAAGATGCTGCACTTACTCCACCAATAAGTAAAATTTTCCGATGGAGACTGAGCCTGTAGTATCGAGTGTTACCTGCTGAACGATCGTGGTACTAGTCTGTTATATGTGCAGAGTTTCGGGGGTATGGTGGTCTCGAGACGCCTTGCATCCACCCTTCCCAACTAAACAAATTCCACCATGTTGGTATTAATGAACCCACGTTATTTTATAACTTAAAGTTGCATTTTCCTTTGCAATCCGCGATTTACTCCCGGCTATTCCCGGCGATCACAGAGCCTGGTCAGCTAAGCGTCACGAAACCAGAAGCACCCTCGCCTGCACGGCGACTCGAGGCCGTTCACAATCCGGGCATCAGTAACGAATAAGCATCTCCAGGGGTACAAATGTATCCAAAACATGCACAACCTAGTCTAGCCTCTGACGCAAGCCTTTCGTCATTCGGTCCTTTTGATGTCCACTTCGAGGACATGGCGAGTATTGGCATGCATTCTCACAACATCGCTCAAATTCTCCAGTCGGGGCACATGAGAAGCATCTCAATCAAGCCGCATCAATCAGTCAAGCCTCCAATGGGGTTGGCAGATGGATGAACACCGCCAATAAATAAGTAAAATAGTCGGCTGTAGACAGAAAAGGTTTTCAGAAAAATACCCTAACAAATCTCAGAGGGTTCCGGAGAAGGGCTTGGCGGCCTCAAAACCCTTAACAAGAGGTCTCTTTCTTCTAACAAAAGCTAGTTTTTTTCTCCTCTCGTGTGTCTGCAGGCTCGTGTCTAGTCCCCTCACAATCCCTTAAGCTGCCTCGTCGTTGCAACTGCTAGAAGTGTTTCCATTTGCTGTAGCAATGAGCTCTGAGGCTGTGAACCCTAAGGCGTACCCGCTCGCTGACGCGCAGCTGACGATCACGATCACTGATATTGTGCAGCAAGCTGCGAATTACAAGCAGCTCAAGAAGGGAGCCAATGAGGCCACGAAGACGTTGAATCGTGGCATTGCGGAGTTTGTGGTAATGGCGGCCGACACCGAACCCCTGGAAATCTTGCTGCATTTGCCATTGCTGGCGGAGGACAAGAATGTTCCGTATGTGTTCGTGCCGTCGAAACAAGCGCTTGGGAGGGCGTGTGGCGTTTCGCGCCCGGTGATCGCGTGCTCCGTGACGACGAACGAGGGGAGCCAGCTGAAGATGCAGATTCAACAGCTGAAGGATGCGATTGAGAAGTTGCTGATTTGAGGTGGAGAAGACGAATAGAAGTCCAGGAGAGAGACCACAGCCGGATAGAGACTTGAGTCTATGATGCCTGGATCACGGTGGCCGTTTGCACGAGGTAGCAGTAGTACATTGTACAACTTCGGATATTATGATTAAGTTGCTCTTTTGCCTCTCCACAGTATGCATTACGGAACCGGGTAGCTGCTAGGGGTTATAAGGACTTTGCGATCTGAGAAGTGAGGAAGCATTAGAAACTGGGTTATTGTATTCTTACCTTTGTGTATTCGTAGACGAAGTAAAAGAAGTACATAGAAAGTTAATGAAAGGTGGTGGATTATCTATACAATGACTGCCTACGAATTGTGCCAATTACCATGCGCCTGTTTTCCAACTTTTTCTTTCGATCAATTGTGGAGCTCACACGCTTCCAGCCGCCGCCATTTTTGCGTCGCTAGTTGTGAGAAGCTACATGCCTACAGTTGAAGTTGCTCTACCTTAGTGTAATATTCTTTCTTCGTAAATCCATCGTTCATATTTTGCCGCCACAGCGAGACTGCCTGTGGTGCCTTCTGCCGCTGTCCGATTCTAATATTCCCAAGGCCTGTGCTGTCAAACAAATGAATGGATGATCATCGTCCATTGAGTGGTTTAATTTCGACGTTGCAGAAATCCCGTGAAAGGTGAAGGTCTACAACGAAATGATGGCAGCATTCGTCTATGTGTATGTGTCTCTTTCAAAAACGTTGCTTCATCTCCTGAACGAAGTGAATTTATGGTACAATAAGGAGAGGTATGAATCAGATAATTTCCATGTCTGACTTCATGAGACCCCCAATCAAGTTTTGCGGTCGGATCTAGTCAGTAACTATGCTTTACTTCGTGAAGAGTTTGGTAGAGGAAATTGTCACACCTTAAGCAACCCTTTGGGCAATTCTGAGAGTCTCAAGTATTTATTTATTGCAGATTTGGCAGCCAAACAATAATCAGGGTGCTGCACATATTCAGGTATTCCTTTCACAGAACCTTGTAATTAAACTATTCGCGTCCAATCAGTCAACAGATGCATCAGTTTTCCTCAACTTCAATTGAATTCAATGGTTGGAAAGTCTCTGAGTGCAACATTATTTCATGTTAACAGAAGAATATATATATATATATATATATATATGTAGCCAGTATTTTTCTTAAATCGAAACAGAAGGTGAAACATTTGAAGTCTTGCAAGTTCAAGACAGAACTACACCAAAAGTCTCACTAAAACCAATTTTAAGAAACTGAATTCGTGAAAATAGTATGTCTAGGATTACAGAAGAGACAATATTACCATGATGTATCTGCACGAAAAAGAATGCATTAGGACTGTCAGTGGCACTTTGAGTTCCTTCCCTCCACCAAGGATTTTGTCAGCGGTAGTTTCTACGAGTTTCAGGGATGGCTCCTTTGAACCGCAGAAGCCTTCGTGGGATTGCCTTAAGTCTGTCTCCAAACCTCGTCTCTCCCTATTATGGAAATAAACAGAGCTCACAGACCCAACTGAACCATTTCATCTTGCTCCCCACACACCACAAAACTCGGGACTAGAGTACTTACCTTGCCGGACTAGAAGATTTGCTTTTTGAATAATCACGGATCTTGATGTATCAATGAAACCTGGACTCAGTGCACAACTTTTACGGCATAAAACCCAATTACTCGGTGCATCATGAGGCTCTACTTCGAATGTCGATCTCGCCGTCCATTTTCACAGGCAAAATAATCTCGATTTCAAGACTGAGAACGTTATAAAAAAAAAAACAGAAAAAAAGAAAGAAAGAAAAAAGGTTTCCACAGAATCAGAGTGCCTTATCACAAAGTAGGAAGACATCATGCATTTTTAGTCTTTACCGGAAATACACAATCAAGAGTGTGGATTGCGAAAGAAAATGGGTATTCAATGTGTAGAACCCGTACTCTTCTTTACGGAATGGCTCAAAAAAGCTTGAGAGACCAGATTCAGGGACAATTTTGTCTTATCCCCTCAGACTTCATACCCGAATCTGTGAAGTACTTGCAGCATCCTACACGCACGGGCTCAGCACCCACAACTATCCTTCGAGCTCTGCAGATTCCCGAAATGCGAGGCCATGAAAATGGAGACTGTCATGCCCTGTGCATCGACGATGATGATCCTCCTAGGGTTCCGAGATTCTCTGGCAGCTTCATCAGTTTTTTATTTCGATTGTTGTGGCATCTCACAACAGGAGAATGGACCAGAAAACAAATGTTTTTTATGTAGAAAAAGGACAGCGGGAGGAATGGGTAGAGGTAGTAAGCAGGGAGAATCGATGTGGGTCAATCCAACTTTGATGGATTCAAGTTACCTCGATGTCGTAAGAGAATGTTAACCAATTCTCCTAACCATGTATAAGTTTTTGAAAGAATACAGACTAGGTATCTCTACACACACACACACATATATATATATATATACAATATTATATATACACATTTTTTTTCAAATACATTTACAGACAAATACATGAATCAATATATAAATAGCCAGGAGCATGTGAAACAGATCAGTTCACAGGTATCACTGCAATAAATTGTACTTGGGACGGAAAAAGCAACTGACTCATTACATTGTTGTTTATGAGCCAATCGACTGAAGATGTGTTTCCTCTAAGGAAATATCCACAGATTCTTTGCAATAAATAAAATAAAAAAATAACTAGTAAATGAAAGCGGGCACCTGAAGTGAAATTTGCGTTTTCTTTTTGATCTGGCAGGCCGACGTGGTCAGTGGCCAAGATCAGCAAGAGCACATATGATGCCGCAAATAGCGGCGAAGGAAAAAAACAAAAAAAAGAAAACAAAGAAATGGGAGTTATGGCGAGCGGGCAGAAATTGTTTCACGGGCAGAGGGCACGAGGAAAATATCGTGTGACGGACAGGGTTTTGTTTGGAAGACTACCCACGCAGTGTGGGCTTGGTCAAAATTTCACATCAGAGCAGGTATGTATGCCCGCCGCGTGTATAGAAGACACCCGGAGGGTATGATCCGGTTCTCTACCGCTAGACTACCGACCTCCTCTCTGAGGTGAGCGCTTCCTGCTGCAGGCAAGGCAAGGCAGAGAGGAAGGAAGAGCCTGAGCTCTCCTCTCTGCTGTGTCGACTTTGTACTGTGGAACCTTTTGCTTGCTTGACCTGTATGGAAGGAAAGGAAAGCCTTTGCTGAGTCGTATTGCGCTTCGGGAGTGCTTGGTCGATTAACGAGGCTCTCACCCAGTTTTTTTTCCTCCGATTTTAGAAACTTTTTTTTGGTGTTGGGGGCGAAACGGGCATCGGAAGGGGGGGATTTGTGTTCGTTTGGGACAAAAAGGTTCGGTTTTTTGGGGTTTTTCTTTTTTCTTATTATTTTTTTATTTTTTGCGTCGTGGTTCGTGTTCGTCTACGCGGAGTGGCATTTTGGTTTGAGTGGAAGTAGGAGCAGAGGTCGCGAGGTTTTATTATTGGGATTAAATTGATTGGCTGTCAGCGGAGCAGAGTTTGTTGAGGTGCGCGTGCAGCTGTTGCATTTTAGCGGGAAGGTGTGGAACGCAGGGACGGAAATATGATGGCGGATTTTGATCTCATGGAGCTTGCTCCGGAACAGGTAGTGTGCCGTTTTAGACTTGTTTTATTTTATTTTTTGATTTGTGTTCAACTTGGTTTATCCCCCATAAGTTTTTGTTTCGTGCCTGTGTGTGTGCGTGTGTGTGTGTGTGTGTAAATGTGTGTATGTTAGTTTTAAAAAGTGCTTTAGTTCATTGATGTCTAGAACTCAAGCTAGAGATTTTTTTTTTTTTTTTTTTTTTTTTTTTAATCTTTATGCTATGAGATTCACGATTGATGGACTCAAGGTGCCAGTTTCAGTTTCCTCGGAGCAACTTGTGACGGAGTGATAGTATTTTTTGTTTTATTTTTTTTCAGTTGTCGTTGTTTTTGCTGCTGCTGTTGTTGTCTTTTACTCTTCTTTTCCCGTGGCATTGTTCCCTGTTGGCACTGTTTCAGCGGTAGACGTCTTGGACAGTACCTCAGGTTGAACAGTTTTGGTGCTGTTGACTTTGAGCTGTAAATGGCTACAAGCGTAGCGTACCTTAGTAATTGGGACGTTCACTTTCTGCGTAGAAATGTAGTGTCTTCTTAATGGCTTTCTGTAGGTTAGCTCAAGTTTCGAAATTGTCGATGTCAGTAGGAGCAATAACATCTTTAGTCTTCTGTCATCTTATGCTACCAACAATAGTTAATATTTATCGTTTACTATCTCAGTGTACAATACCTTCCTGCCTCAGCTTGAAAATGATTTGAGAGCATCAGTAAGTACGTATTTCCTTTTTGGTCTGATATTCTTTGTATATACATACATACCTATATACATATATGAGAGCATTGTAGTCATTCTCTGCACGCGTTCTAAGTGTCTCTACTTCGAGTAACAGGAAGATCTTGCTTATTTACATCAACAATTGTTTTCGACTGCTACGGAAGTTGTTACGGGTGGAGCAGAAGAGCCAACCATTGTTGTCCAACAGACTACAGCTACCACCGTCAACATAGTGCACGACGGTATGATAATTGTAGTATTCGTATTGGAACAATCGTTTTCGTAGTTCCCTCCTTACCAGTAAAACCCGACTCCTTGATTCAGTATTCGACAACACACGTTTGTTCGATATCGCTATTTATGTTGACCTGATCTATAATACTAAGTGGTGGTTATCCTCGCCTAGTACAAGCATTCAGAGAAATGTCTGGTGTATCCGTTGCTTTCCTGGCTTAAACTCGAAGATATGAAGACATTCAGCTTACAAGATTCAGTATATGAGTTTGTAAAATGCTTATGTGAACGTTGCACCCCTATCAGGTATGTGATTCTAACAAGTTGCAATCTTGAAGTTTGCAGGGAAATACGGGAACGGAAACACTGCTCCCGAACACAAGGAGGTTGGCTGTTGTCATGATCTTTTACTAATTGCATTTACGAACGATTTGACCTGTAGTTTTTGGTACTGGTGAATGAATTTGCCGTTAGATTTTTTGCAAGTTTGTTTCGCATCACATTGCCTGCTTATATGCGCAGGATGACATGCCAGTGATGGTTCACGGAGAAGGGGAAGCTTTAGTTGGGCGGTCAGTCGTGAAAAAATTTCGAAGGACAAAGTATTCTGGAAAGGTTACGGCCTACGATCCAGAGTGCAAATGGTACAAGGTACTTGAATTTATCATACTATTGGCTAAAAGTGGACTACATACCTTTGTCGGCGTTGTGTAGTTCAATCGACCTTAACTACGAATTTATTCAGGCATGAGGAGGCAGATTGTTTGAAAGGTGTTAATTTGTCGGTATTTCACGTAGGTGTCCTACGAGGACGGTGATGAAGAGGAGCTCGAGTATAAAGAGCTTGCACAACTTCTAGTGGAGGCTGGTGAAGCAGAAGCAGTGAAAGCCGCAAATTTTAGGAAGAGAGCTGCTCCTGAGATCAATAGTGATTCCAAGAGGTAAGTGTAAGTTGCTTGGTTGCTTGGTTGCATTTAGACTCCGGAGATATGTCAAGTTGGCAATAGTTGTATTTGACCACTATCAGTAGAGGTGTTGCCCTTGGTGCATGAATATCTTTTTCATCCTAGTTTTGGAGAATCACAACCCCACTAAATTGGTCATAACAGTGTCAGTATACTTGTTTTTGCTTTAGTCCTGCCAAGAAACTTAAAGGAAGGAAGCCTACCGTTGAAAAGAAACCTGCCAAGGACAATTCTCAGAAGGAAACGAAATCACCTAAAGTTTCCAAGTCGCCAAGGTTATCTAAGAAGACGACGCCTAAAAAGATGGGAAATGAAAAGCTCAATGCTTCTGAAACTCATTTATCTAAGAAGAAGAAAGTCGCTGAAGCAAACACTCCGAAGAGAGGAAGGGGAAGACCAAAGAAAGATACATCTCTTGCGATCAAGCCTAAAGTTAGTGGAAAGGGAAGTGGTGTTCGCCTATCAAAGAGCAAACTGTCAACACGGAAGACCACTCCAGTAAAAGGTCGAGGTGAATCAAAACCAGGCCGACCTCCACGGGCCAAGGGTGCAGTATCACCTGCTCTCAGAAAATCTCTTTCTCTTAAGGAAGGTGTCCAACTCATCGGAGCTAAGACAAAGAAAAAGTTTGATAACGTGCTCTACGATGGAGAAGTAATTGGATTCGATCCAAAAGTGGGATTCTACAAGGTATGTTAGACCTATTCTGATGGGTTTTGAGGATTTTGGACCTCATAAGGATTATGGCAGATGGAATATGCGTAAGTTGTCATAAATACTGTATCATATCCCTCTGCATGCTCTATTGGTGTACTGTGTGTAAGCTGAAATGCTTGTAAGTAATCTTGTTATTGATCCATACTGGATCACAGCATTATGTTCACACGTAACTTTTCCAAGCCAATATCTCATGATAGTCATATTGTGGTCTTTAAAATTCTTAACTTAAAGCTTCATGTAAAGTCTCATGTTTGTGGATTGTATTGTGTATTTCAGATCCGCTATAGTGACGGGGACAACGAAGAACTTACATTGAAGGAGCTGAAAAAGACACTGGTGGAAGATCAGGCAACTCCCAAGAGAAGAGGTCGAGCTAAAGATGCTCCATCTTCAGCAAAAGCTGGCGGAGAGCCTCCGAAGAAGAAGCAAAAAGTCAGTCTACCGAAGAAAGATTCTGTGAAAGTACAAAGTCGTGCCAGGTATCGTATCATTCGCATGCTCTGTTTATAGTGTTTCTATATTGGGCCTTTCCTCCTCGTGCCCATTTTGTCCTTAACATCGAATTCCTTTATATTAGTTATTATTATTATTTTATTATTATTTTATTTTTTGTTTAGAGGTTTGCGGAGCTTGTAAAATATTTCTTTGCTTTGAGATGTGCGGTGTATTTTGTGTAGCCTTAAACTCATTGCTGGTTGAAATTGCAGAGTTGGAACCCAGCCAAGGAAACGTGGACGTCCTGCTAAAGCAAAAAGGTAAATAAGCGATGGTTGAATTCGGAGGGGCCAGCAATTTGAAGACTTTCTGTATAGAGATAGACTTTACTGTATCGGGGAGAGGCGTCTGTGCCTGAGGTCTCAGATGTTGGGCTTTGCCTGAATCATGCATGTAGCATTAGGAGCCTCAGAGGGATCCTAGATTCCTCAAGTGGTAGTGGATGTGTTCAATAGAGCTTTCATTTCCAGGGTGTTACATGACTGAACGCACGCCACAACCACTTGTGGCTCTGGGTTCTCAGCTTTATACGATGCGGAACAAGGAAGCTTAGAAGGCTCTAGGGAGGGACTAATGGCTGCTAACTCTTCTAGCCAGGCTACAGAAATGGGCTGGTTAGTCTGTGTACATGGTGAACAGACTTCTTTAGGAAAATTGGCATATTTTAGGCCTGTCTCTTGTTAAGATTGCCATGCAGCCAACAGGATCCGACTCTTTTGAATAAACTTATTGTGAATTGCTATATATTATCACTAGTTTGGTTTTACAAGAGTATTACTTCTTTTCAGTGCATTATTTGATTATATCATCTAGCTTAGCTGAGGATGAGGAATTTCAAGTGCGGTTACAATTTTGAACCTTATAAATGTTATCTATATTCAAGGTTAAATACTTTTATGGACACTTATTCTGAATTTTATATTTGCAATGACCCACAGATTACTTGCATCCGAGGCGCCGTAGTTAATTCGTGGTGAAAACTGCGATTCAATATCTTTTTCGAAGTATTCCTTCCGAATTTTCTTTTAAAATCCAACAACTGTGACGAGTTTGTGACGTTCAGTTTAATAATGTGATCCCAGAAAAAGAGATCTCGGCTCCAATGTCTTTTGTATTGAATCCACGCCCATTAATGTGACCATTGGCTTCACAAAAGCTTCCTATTTTAATGTAGTAGCTGGTTTAGATGCATTCAATTGTTAGAGGGGTCACAGCATTCAGCTGTGCACAAGTCAGCATCCTCTGGCTGCTTTAGCATCAGCAAGGCAAGTTCTGGTGGGCGCAATGTGGCAATGTTTGCAGTCAGCGTTATGGAAGGGAATATATCGCTGACTTGGAGGGCTGTTTGGTTTTTACTTGTTGACATTGCTCCACCAAATTTTGGACAGAGGGACCGCTTGGTATATTCCACCACAAGAAGACCAAGTGAGACTCTCAGATGTAAGGAGTTACTGCTGCTTCGAGTTTTTGAACGACGCAATTTGTGGGAGGCTTTCGGTAGCCCTTGTGCAGGCTCTGGACTCCTACTTGATTGCCGTAACTTATCATGGAGAGGACTCTATTCTTAGCTATCTCATCCTTGGAATTCTGATGGTAGCTGACGAAATTGGCCCTATTTACTTTGCTGGCAGAACTGCTAAAGATCAGTGAGGATACTGATGTAGGTGGCTTTTGTTTCACTCTGTGTCGGTGCGGTGGCTGCTCTTGTTGAGACTTCCTTTCCAGGATAGATCTCTGAGTCGAATTCAGATCTTGTATGATTTCTAAGTGAGGCTCGCCCGTCTGCCAAATTGCTAGCTGCAGACCCACATTCGTGACTCGTGTCTTCTTCAAACTTGAAATTCTACGTCCAAAACTTCAGACTTTGTCAAAATTAGGGGTCTCTGTACTTGTTGTGTCTAACTCGTTGGATCTTGTCCAGAAGACGTTCCAAACATCCATAATCAAGCTCAAAGATCTTTGCAACACATCGTTTGCTCGCAGCCCTGAGACTTGCAAAAGGAGTACAAGACTTAGGGGATGGAGAGAGATTGGTTGAGGTAAGCAATTGTGAGATATTTCTTACATGATATTTGAAAGTTATTCGTATGATAGATAATATGTTAATATTCTCAAAAAGAAGAGCAAATTTGAACGTACAATGGCTAAGATTTTGAAACATAGAATAGGAACTAACTAGCAACCAGGTGCTTTTAGTTTTTTTATTTTTTATTTTTTAAAACAGACGTAGGTTAGACACTGCGCATGTTCTCACCTTGATTTCGCGATTTCTAGTCTACCACAAGCTTGTGTTGATCAGTCACTTTTCTAATGGAGAAAGGTGGATATATTTCCATTTATGCTTTCAACGGCATCTCTTGCAGTAGAATTGATTTGATATTAGTAATGAGAAGAGCACCCTAGGGTAGTGAGACTTGTGTTTCAGATGCTCATATTCTGTTTTCCTTTTACCTCAACACCTCTGTATAGGCAGGACGTTTCGTATCATGCTTGACCTCATCTTATACCTGACAAATTTAATAAACATCTGCCATTATGTTTGCGAGCACAAATTATGGTGCTAATAAACTTCAAAACCTGCTGCAACTATTGACACTACTATAAATATTGAAGGCAAGGCTCACGCCAGTAACTGACATTTCTTCACCGCTTGGTTAGTTATTCAAATATTCAAATTATTCATTCTCTGTTGGAAAATTCTCAGATCGAAACCAAGGGCTCATCACAAATCACCCACATGAGTAAATTTGCGATATCTCTAGCAGTTGCACTGATCCATTGAACTAAGGAAGGAAGCATGTGCATCCATCGGATCCTTCGCAGAGACCGCAAAATCCATTTAGCAACATCCTCCGCGCTGCGCTCCAACATTCCTCGACTTGGTGGGTATGTGCACTGAAATGGATGACCCCGAATCCAGTGTCGGTGAGCTTTGTTATTTGCAACAACACGACAAGGCACTCACAGTAACACAAGAAGATCATACAGAATAACACGAGTAACTTGGCGTCTTCACTACAGGAGTCCTAGTTTTACTGCTGATGAAGTAAGAGCCCGTGCTTCTTACATAAAATGAGATTTGCCAAGATTGATTGATATCATGTCTATTAGTGCATACTCAATGTGACAGGTAGTGAGGTTGGACATAGGTAGTAAACTTAAACACTTGCGCATTTTGTTGACATCATCAACACCCCCGTTTTCCTCTGCGGCTATGGTACTCTTCTTCCTATCTCAATACTCCTCTATTTTAAAAGGTGTATTTTAAGTAGTGAGGGTTTTATACAAATTACTTTTCGGAATTTTTACCAGGTTGAGTTTGTGATGTGGGTGATGGCTTGAGTCCAAGAGTATCTATCTGTCACATTGAAAACTCTACACTAGTTCAATGTGAAACATAAGTCTAATAGTGGACCAAGCTTGTTCTATATTTCCAACTCAATTTGAATCCACATATCCTGAGAAAGTGATTTGATTGTTGTTTCTACATAGGATTCTATAATCTTGTGTATCCTTGATGTATTATAAATTTTTTTTTGCTGATAATAAATAAAATTATTGAAAACTTGCTACAAATTAATTGACAATTCTAGTGGCAAACTATATTTCAGGGCTAATATGAATTAAGTGAAGGCATTTATTTATAATACTCCAATAATATGTAGAACCCACTTCTTCCTTCTCCATGTTACAATTGAGGTTTTTTTTTCATCAATAAGAATTGTTATTAGTATGCAATCTTTCATTCTAAAATTTGTTTATATATTTTGTGCATATGCCTTTTGTGTCATAAATATTTGTTCTTTTCTTTATATGCATTCTATCTTTAGATATAGAGTGACTTCTTCTTTTAATAATTTTGACATTTCAAATTTTTTGTGCAATTCTCTTTTAAATTTGATCATGTTTTTTTACACAATTACCAATCATAAGAAGATCATTTATATATAGAGCAATGAAAATGGTTTTTTTCCTATAAAAGTTTGGAGTACAAATTGTGATTTCATATACCTTGCTAAAAACCAACTTTCTTTGAGTAAGAATATATTTTTTCATACCATACTTAAGATACTTATTATAACCCATATAGTACCTTTTATAATTTATATACCATCAGTTCTTTTCTTGATACTTCAAAGTCTTGAAGTTGAGTGATATTAACTTCTTCTTTTTTTTTTTTCATAAAAAAATGTAATTTTAACATCTATGTGACATAATTTTTAATTTTTCAATACTACAATTAAGATCATGGCTCTAATTATTGTCTATTTAACCATCAATGCAAATGTTTCTTCATAGGCAATTCCATCCTTCTATTCAAAGTTCTTGGCTACTTAATTTTTTTGTATTTTTATAATGATCCATTTGTATTTAGTTTTATTTTGTAGATTTATTTTGTGGAGATGGCAAATTTATTAAGTAAAAGAATTATAAGACGCCATGTTTCATTCTTGTATATAGAATTCATTTCTTCTATTATTACTTGACTTCAATCCTTATATATTAAAACTTTATAATAGGTTGTAGGTTTTAATTTTAAAATTTGCATGAGTCTTACAAAATGATTAAGCAATCAATATAAGTATTAGATTTGTTAATGGGCTCTTATTTTGGTATCGAGGATATGAACTCAAAATAACTAAAATATTAATATACTCATGTATCATTCAAAAAGACTAAAAAATTACTTAAAGATATTATAGTATTAAACTAAAATGGCTATTGCCAAAGACAAGAAGACTAGAAAGACTTGAAATAAGACTAAAGATTAGATAAGTATTGACAAGAGTGAAGAAGGCTTTATTCTTACCTCCATATTTTTTCTTAACTAAGAACTACATGGTGATGTCCTATAGGACCTCTAAAACGTGTTGACTTTACAAGACACATATCTTAACTTGCAAGGCAAGTTTTTTATATGTGTACCACATGGTTAACTTATTTTGTAAACTATCAAGACATGATTAACTTGTTAATCAAGTTTCTAACCTATCAATCAACTACAAATACATATAAAGTCAAAACAACATCTATAAAGCTTCTAAAAAGTATTTTTAAAAATAATATGAAATCAATCTACTTTTATCTACTTCTATTTAATCATATACATAAATATTAGACTAAATATGTATGTCTATGATATCATCCTTCCTTCTAAAGATGAGTTCCACAAGAAGCAATCATCATATATTCAAGAAATCTAAGATGTGGCAAATTGTGTTTGCTACATACTCTGATCTTTGTTTTCTTTGAAGATGGTTGATAGGTCGTCTCAGCCATTGATAGTGTCCTACACTAGGGTAGAAAGACCTCTCTATTATTTGATGATTGTTGAAGCTTTTGTAACTATCTTCAAATAAAACATTTGAAATATTGTCACGAGTCATTCCTACCTCTAATAAAATTACTAAACATCAATAGTCTCTTTTAAAGTTGTAATACCAAACATGTTGTATCTCACCATTTATTCAAAGAAAAACATGTCATTTTTGAGGATTTTTATCTCAATTGCATTATCTTGAAGGTTAAGACAATCACAATATCTCATCTAATAATTTGGCAAATAATAGCTCTTAAATTGAATATGTTGGTTGTTGGTTCTCCATATCCTTTGTGTTATAAATATACAAAAATTATAAATAAGAGTAGAAGGTAAAATGATATCTTTTTTAGATATTGTTTCTTTTATAGTAAAGTTTTACTATTTTTTATCTTGGTTTTGATAGATGTCATTAATGAAAAATATCAACTTCCTTTGTTGTAT